GGTTTTCACCTGCATCTTGTCATATTTAGTGTCGCCACAGTGGCTTGTCCATGAACATCTTCACTTATAAAAGGTCACATTGGCTGTAATTTGGAGAAGGTTTTGAGATTGCTCCCATTATGATCAGTCGTGCTGTTGGCACCATAAGTGTCTGTTGAGGTATATTGCAAGTTGTCAGGCATCCACTTTCAATTTTCTGATGTGTTGAAGTAGTGCTGGGCGGTATACCGGTTCATACCGAATACCGGTGTTTATTTTTGTAATGATATGAATTTTTTTTCAGAATACACCGTGGCCAATAGAGTGATAAAGTTGCTGAACTAAAGCCAATTCTAACCAGCCAAAACCTTCACCCATGTGTTATTCGTTTGTCAACATCACTCGTTAATGCTGAACTACGACACAGAGTCCTGAGGGTCTGACTGTGTTTGTAAGATCGATTAGCATCTTCCCAACGGTGCAGTGAAGGAGCATCTGACCCGGCGTCTCAACAGACACGACTTATCAACATGAATCAAGCGTGTTAATTAACATCGCCCGGTTCAAAAGGCCCTCTCATCTGACCTCATGAATATTCAATCGATGACATCATCTGAGTTATGCATATTCATTGGTGGGCTCCTTTATTAATGTAAACAATAGGAACAGCAGATTACTCTGTGAAAGCAGAGGAACAGGGCATAATCTGTGCAGCTGGTCACGGGCCAGTCTGCTACTAAAGCCGGTCTGATTAGATTTCTCTCTCAGCGAGGTTTAGCTCTGCCACTGTGGAATGATTCACTGGGTATCAGCCATTTGCACTGGAGCCCAAACACACACACATATGCAGATGCAAAAACATTCGGGTTTTAAAAAACAGATGGGCTATCAATATGCATTCGTGTTGTACATCAGATACTTTGACCGGTGGAGTCACAGTGTAAACTAGATGTACATTTCCTGAAGGCAACAGCAGGGCTTGTGAGGCAGTGAAACTATAGTGATAAAGTATGTTTAAGATTCAGACTTTGGTTCTGTGTAAATGAAATGCTGTAGCAGAGACACTTGTTGTCCAGGAGCCTCTTTTCGCCCACGTTCCTGTCGGCAGATATTAAAATATGTACAGTAATACTCTGCTGTACCTCTCTTGGCTTCATGTAAAAGCACATTACTGCTGTAATTTGTATAATATTGATATTATTTCAAGCAGGTAAAGGTGCTTTTTCCACAAGGATTGCGCACCATTCAGAACTGATTTTTTAAAATCATTTTAATGCATACTTATTTGTTGATATTAATTATTAACAATTAAGACTTATTATAAATGTTTTTGTAATTAAATATTATTAATAGTTTAATAATTAGTAAATTACAAATCAATTTCCAAATCAAATCAACTGAATTTGGAATTGGTCCGTTTAATGCATACTTATTAATTAGTATTAATTAATCATTAATTTTAATGTTTTTATCGGTAATTATTATTAATAGGTTCATAATTACTAAATTCCTAATCAATTTCTAAATAATGTCAACTGAATATGGAATTCGTCAATTGAATGCATCCTTATTAACAAGTATTATTTATTAAGAATTAATACTTATTATGAATATGTTTTTATAGTTAATTATTATTAATATGTTAATAATTACTAAATGCCAAATCAAATCAACAGAATTTGGAATTGGTCAATGTAATGCATCCTTATTAATTAGTATTAATTAATAATAATTAATTGTTATTTTTAATTGTTTTATAGGTAATTATTACTAGGTTCATAATTACTTTCTGAATTTTCTGAATTTGAATTGAGGTAGCAAACCGAACACAAAATTGAATTTCAAATTTGAATTTGTAGTGTTTATATTTAAGGAGGTATTTAAAGATTTAAAATGAATTGAAATTCAACAAAGTTGTTTTTTGACTATAAATGCAAAGTTTTTGAATGTTGCCTTGAAGTTTGAAGTTTGGTTATAAGCCAAGTAGATAAAAACTTACATTTATGTAGAGTTGAACTGTTTACAACTTTAATAATTTCTTGTTTTTTATGCATACTATTTTTAATCTTACCTTGGTGTTTAATCTTTGACAGTGTAGCGTTTCTGAAATGCACACTGGTGCAGCCTTAATCTCTGAATTATTTATTCATTAATATTAAAATGTTAATGGAAAAATATCTGCGCAGATGTCGGCGATATTGCGTCTCAATGCCAAAGCAGTGAAGAACATCTGCACAGGATCAAATCATGAACAGTGCAAACCCGTGACTTGTGAATATTAATTAGGCAACATGACTGGACAGTCTGTGGACATTACCTAGCAATGTGAGATAATTAATATTCATGAGTCCATTATTTACCATATACCAGCCAGAACACCCTGATAAACACCTAGCAACACATTAGCACCCAAGCACTTAAGCTGGGCTCACACTACAGCAACACCTTAGCAACTAGATAGAACACTCAAACACCTACCTAGCAACCACCCAAAACACTCATAATAGTCTACTGGTGTCATACTTGTAGTCGTTTTAAATTTGAATTTAAATTTTTTGGAATTTGAATTAACTTGACTTATTGAGACTTTTGTTGCGTTTTTCTTGTGTTATTTCTGAGCATACTAGGTTTTAGTTTGTACAATATGTGCCTTCATATTTCATGCATTTTTTCTGCAAAGATATTTTACAAGTAATTTGTTTTACATTTACACCATGTTGACAACTTATAATAGAGCTTTCTTTAACTAGATGGTTAATAAAGAAAATGTTACTTGAATCATGTTGTAGATAAATTGATTAGTTAAATGACAAAAATAATAATAATAAATCAAAATTGATATCTTGAATTGGTCAACAAATAATTTTCTGCCATATACCCAGCCCTAGTCTGTAGTATTGCATGTGGCACAGTGAGCTTGTTTAAAGCTGAATGTGAATGAGAAATGCAGCAGTTCACTGATGTCAGAAAGGTGCGCAGCTGATTTGCTCATTCACTCACTCCCGGACTCGCTCCTCCCTCCATCACCCGTCTCCCTCCTGTCCAAACTCTCCTTCAGCTCTGTTTTATCAGCTTTCAGTCTTTTTCTCCGGGAGGATCATAGATTATTTCTCCGCCGCTCTGTCGGAGAGGAGAGATAGAGAGACCTCCTCCTCCTTTTCATCTCTCTTCTTTTTTCCGTCTGTTCTTTCATTGGGATTGCGGAGTGGGGAGCCGTGGCTGTGATTTTCTCTTGTGGATGCGTTCAGAGATGCGGTGAAGCCGGGGAGAGAGACTCGGGCTACGGTGCGGTTCACCAGTTGAATGTGAATGGGTGAACATGGAGGTGCCCTGAGGAAACTGAGGTTTGCGGGGCTGCGTCTGTCTTTGCCTGAAGAACGCGTCAGTCTGTGAGTATCCAGAGCAGAAAGTAGTTTCAGAGCAGGTTGCTGGTGCATTAGTTTCAGACAGCGATGCATGGATGCACATTAGAGGCCATGCACTGAATGACATGCTTCTGTCACACAGCTTGAAAAAAAGTGAAATATTGCAAGATTTGGTGTTTGCATTTTTTCGAGTTTTTTACTTCTCTTTAATTTAAATGGGTTGCTTTGCTTTTGAAACGTCTCTGATTGTTCAGTCTGTGTGTGTGTGTTTGCTCAGTGACCTGGTTCTGTTCGCCATTCATTCTTTACTGTGGTTATTACGGTCGCTGCCGGTGATTTGCATTCGGGATGATGTCATCTTTCTCCAGCCACGGTTTCACGTTTATGGTCAATGCGAACGCTGCGGTCAGCGACCTTTAACCCAGACCTGAATCTGTAGGGAACTGCAGTGGACATCTGTTTCACATTCATCCTCTTTATATGGCATCAATGCATCTTATTTTTCCCTCCAATATCAGACAGAGGGAAACCTGTTTGAAAACAGTTATTATTACAGTTCAGTGTGGTGTCGCTGGTGGTCACTTCTAAATAGCAGGGCCCATGATTTCACTACTTGTTATTGTTAACTAAAACTATAGTCAAAACTATTAAAAAGTTTTCAAATCTCAATTACTAAAAAAAATATTTTTATAATCTTTATATATTATTTAAGATAAAATGAATATTAGACCAAAATTAAAAATAGCCTTGGCAACTAACTAAAATAGTTTAAGAAATAAAATAGTTTTAGTACTAAAATTGCTAAAACTGATTTTGAAACGTCTCTGATTGTTCAGTCTGTGTGTGTGTGTTTGCTCAGTGACCTGGTTCTGTTCGCCATTCATTCTTTACTGTGGTTATTACGGTCGCTGCCGGTGATTTGCATTCGGGATGGTGTCATCTTTCTCCAGCCACGGTTTCACGTTTATGGTCAATGCAAACGCTGCGGTCAGCGACCTTTAACCCAGACCTGAATCTGTAGGGAACTGCAGTGGACATCTGTTTCACATTCATCCTCTTTATATGGCATCAATGCATCTTATTTTTCCCTCCAATATCAGACAGAGGGAAACCTGTTTGAAAACAGTTATTATTACAGTTCAGTGTGGTGTCGCTGGTGGTCACTTCTAAATAGCAGGGCCCATGATTTCACTACTTGTTATTGTTAACTAAAACTATAGTCAAAACTATTAAAAAGTTTTCAAATCTCAATTACTAAAAAAAAATATTTTTATAATCTTTATATATTATTTAATGTAAAATGAATATTAGACCAAAATTAAAAATAGCCTTGGCAACTAACTAAAATAGTTTAAGAAATAAAATTGTTTTAGTACTAAAATTGCTAAAACTGAAATAAAAATGGAAAATTTTACAAAAAACTTAATTCAAAATTTAAACTTAAAACTTTATATATATATATGTAGTATTTATACAACAGTTCTTTCTGGTCCTCGAAACTGATTGGCTGATAAGAGTGCTATTAGTGTGACAGAGCTCTTCCAACCGCTTCACCGTTTATATCGGCACGCTGTGATTACCTGGTCTTGATCTTATTGTTATGCATTGATTCTACCCATAATGCTAAGCTGCTGTTTTTCTCTGTGTTTTGTGCAGCGACGAGCTCCACTAAGCTGGAGGATCTGAGCTATCTTGATGAACAGCGGAACACCCCCCTGCGTATGTCCATCCGCCTGCCCTGGCACAACACTGGCGGCAGAGCTCCACACGACAAAGGTACTTCCACAATCCCATCATGCAGCTGTTTCTATCAGCTTGGTTTCTCCTCTTTAGTTCTGTAGGATCCTCACTAAACATCGAATAATTCATAATTCGCATGACATTTTCACCCCAAATTCTTATTACCTTCATGCAAAACAAAAAAAGGAAGAAAATTAATTCTCATTCATCCAAAAAAACATTGTTTAAATTGTCATCAGTGATAATATTTGGGGGGAAAATGTAAAAACTATATTAAGAATACAATCCCTGCATTAAGGTGCTTTTTCAGATGTCACCTTAAAACATTATTTAAATTGTCATAAATAATATTATTTGTTCTAATTTTGTCTTTAATTTTTGAAATGCATTTAAATAAAAAAATAAGAATTATAACTGATGAGAATTTAGGCTACTGAAAAGGCTTAATTTACTTTATGTAAAAAAAAAAATTTACCTCCCAAAAAATAAAGTATAACTGCACAACTCTTTATTTATTCAGAACTTGCACCACAACATTTAGGTGTGCGTTTATATTTTTTGTTAATTGTGAAATAAAATTTTACCTAAATATTTTCTTGACAGGTTTGGTGAGATTCACCCCTGCACAGTCTGAAACAGTTGAATGCTCTTTTGGTTTGTTTTATTTTGTCATCTGTAAAAACATAACATTTTGAGAGACTTTCTGTATAGATCCTTTTACCCATTCTGGACTTGGATGCAAATAAGCAAACCCTCTCCATACACTTCCTGTGGTGAAAGGAAGTGTTTTAAATGGTTAAGTCCATTAATAATGCAAGAGAACATAGTTAAATACATGTGTTTTTCTGTTTGTCTCTTTCTCTTATATAAACGCTGGTGTACCCTAAGGGTCGAGCTAATGTGTGTTCTGCAGGAGCTGCTGCGTGTGTGTCGGTGTTGAGCTCTTATTCTGAGCTTGTTGAATGTTCTGATAAATAATGAGGAACATCAGAGGTTTGATTCAATCACAGCCAGTGGCAGCAGAGATTCATCAGCTCCTATCAGTGCAGCATTCAGCTCCAGTTGTTTTTATTCCAGTTTTTGCAGGCCGTGTATCAGGTGTGTGAGGGTAGATAGATTCAGTTTTATCTGAAATGCAGTACATGCTTATATGTGTATGTATAGTTTATAAATATTAAATATCACTCTTTGTGCATGTCAATATAAAGGAACTAACATCAGTGTAATCATAACATGACCAGCTTCAAGTTCGTATAGAGGTTAGCTTTTGAATAATTGTTGATTTAAATAAAACAATCATTGCATTAAGGTGTTTATTTAGATGTCACCTTTGCAAAAATGTAAAAATGTCCAGACAAGACTCTTATATGTTTTATTTAAAGCAAAGCTTTAATTTCTTAATGCAAAATTCATTAAATTTTTTTCCTACTGTGCACTATCCTGGATTTATTTTTATTTTTTGTGAGATTAACCCAAAAATCAGTTATTAACTAAATAAAACTGCTGCATGTTTGTGACTTTTTATGCTACTCAACAGTTACTCAAACAAGCTACTTTTCATGCTCAACATATTTATTTTATATCATAGATTCACTACGATAAAAGTGTGCATATACGACACTAATGTCACAATATCAGTGACACAGATATCCTACACACACAGCCATGTTTATTTATATTCACACAAACAGCTACTAAAAGTGATGAAAGTCTGTAATATAATGTCACAGCGCTTTATTCCCTCATCCGATTATGGCTTCTTTATGTACTTTCACACATATTTTGTCTCATGCACAGTAAAAACTCAGTCTAAACGGACATTGAGGGTGTTTAAAGCACATATTTAGCAAGGTTAACTGTCAGTAGTTTTAAAAAACTATGATTATTTGATCTTTTATCGCATTTGCTGCAGTGAAATAGCTTTATTATTAAGTATTACCTTCCTTCTAAGGTCTAGCCAGTGGTGGAGTAGAAAAAGACATGCAGATAAAGCTTAAACTAAAAAAAAAAGTTTTGTTTGCATATGAGTAAACCTGCATGTTTTCTGTTTTTCAGCCCGCTTTGCGCTGTACAAGCCCACTGACATCATGCTCAAGCCGCTGCTGTTTGAGGTTCCCAGCATCACCACAGACTCTGTGTTCGTGGGCCGTGATTGGCTGTTCCAGCAGCTGGAGGATGACCTGAGGCCCAGCGAATCGGGTGAGAGCTCCGGGTCCATCATCGTGGGCAACGTGGGCTTCGGCAAAACCGCCATCATCTCCCGCCTGGTGGCCCTCAGTTGCCATGGCGGCCGCATGCGACAGATCGCATCCAACAGCCCAAGCGCATCTCCGAAAAGTGAGTTTTGTACATTGTTTCACAACACACGTGCCTGAGTATTGGCACAGATGCTCTCACACAAATGCTTGTGTAAAATGCTCATGAAATCATTCTTATTTCAATTGTTACATTGAAGAATTGTCAAATAAGAATGTTTTTTGAACAATTTCCCTTTTTTTGCATTCACTACCTTCAAATTATGAGAGACACTATCGTTCAAAAGTTTGTAGTCAGTAAGATTTATTAATGCATTTGAAAGAAGTCTCTTCTGCTCACAAAGGCTGCATTTATTTGATCCAAAATACACTAAAAACTGTAAAATTGTGAAATATTTTTACAATTTAAAAGAACTGTTTTCTATTTGAATATATCGTAAAGTGTAATTTATTGCTGTGATCAAAGCTGAATTTTCAGCATCATTACTCCAGTCTTCAGGGTCACATGATCCTTAGGAAATCATTCTAATATGCTCAAGTGCTACTCAAGAAACATTTCTGATTATTATCAATGTTAAAAACAGATGTGCTGCTTCATACTTTTGCAGAAACCACTGTTTTATGATTCTTTGATGAATAGAAAGTTCAAAAGAACATCATTTATTAAAAATAGAAATGTTTTGTAACATCATAAATGTCTTTACTGTCACTTTTGATCAATTTAGCGTATTCCAATAAAGCGTACTGACTCCAAATTTTTGAATTGTAGTGTACTTCAGTCTCAACTGAACAATAAAAACAAATATCAAATAAATAGTATACCATTCTTGAAAAAAAAATCTTTAGTTCATATTAGATTTTTTTGAGGCATGTTATCAATTGTGTAAAAAAATTTGTGCATTTAGTTTTTAATTGCAAGAAACATTAAAGGTGGGGTAAGCGATTTCTGGTAGCCAATGTTGACATTTGAAATCACCAAAACAAACACGCCCCTACCCCAAAAGGGTCTCGCCCCTATTTTGATAACTCCGCCCCACACATACATACGCAACCCAGGCAACGATTAGTTCTGTGAAACAAAGCAAAACCAATGCTACACCGTGTCTGCACCGGACGCGAGTGGCGCGGCGCGACAAAATACTATGGAACTCATTATAATCAGTGATGCTGTCTACACCATAGATATA